GTTACTCAAGGCCACTCATGATCTGGCCACACTCTGTCCATACAGCTTTCTTGGTCACTACTTTCCCAGGTAAGGACTCTGAACAGAATGGGTCTATTTGTCTGATGTTCATGCCTTCAACGTAGACTAATGTTTTACTTCTCCATGGAAAGTATTAGTTTTTCATCAGTTTTTTAGCTGATTACCATTTATTCCAACCTAAATGATACTTTTCTTTGAGTGGACTCTCTTCTTTATTTCACCCAGTGCTCTAGGACTTTTAATCAAGGTGTTTCCCTTCCTCTATACAAGAGGCCAGCATGAGACCATAGTTAGACCAAACTCTCGCTCCTGAGAATTGGAGGCTTGAGCAGACGGTCAACAGATTGGAAGTGTCTAGAACTCACTTATTCCAGTGGAGGTAAACTGAGTGGTTAAGTATTTCTTGTTTCCTAGATCTTTGGAGTTAGCTTATCTCCAGACTTTTCCTGAATTCAGGTCTCTAGACTATCTGTAGATTCTGTGGGTAATTCTATATCCTTCCAGAACATTCTCAGTTTCATTAAATTACAGTGGTGATTTCTGTTGCTTAGAATCAAATTCCTAATTGATTCATCAGTTTTAAAGTTACCCTGCACATGAGACCTTCCCAAGTTCTTGTGACCATTCCCTTAGGTGAACCACCTGTAGATGTTAGCAACCTGCTGCATTCCTTTGGCATATCTCCAACAGTCAGCAAGTATTTGCTGAACGTTAGCTATGAATTCAAGATCTGTGCTATCACAAATTTTAAAAAAGTGATCTTTTAACTCTCTTTGTGTCTTTCAGAATACAGCCTGTTTTTAACAAGTATATTATAGATTCTTTAAAGTTAGTGATTCTCTCAAGCATAAATATTCCTTCCTGGGTGCGTAACATTCACAGAAGACACATTTTATTACTGATTTACAAAGGCTGCCTCTACCATAAAACTGTGTATTACTATACTAAAGGATTGCTTGATATGAACTGAATTAATCAATAAAAATCATAATAGCCAGCAACTACTTAGTTTCTAAAGGGCATTTTATCACATCTAAACTTATTAATTGTGGAGGTTTAACACAAAATCATCAATTAGCATGCTAAATTTCTGGAAGTCGAGTGTAGAATCTCATTTTTGAGCCATTTCCAGGACTCAAATTGACTTTCAGGACTTCAACTAGGTCATCTCTAAAAGCTGCCATTAGCATCATTCAAGCTACCCAGGACACTTGATAATCTAAGAACCAGGAAGTGCAGCTGATTTAGTTAATTCTCTACCCTGGATCTTATTTTAAATATAACCTTCAACAAGAAGAGGAGGGAGAATTAATGTGAGCATCTGTATTTGCTTTAACAAATAAATAAACCACCATGATTACAACAACAAAATTATCACCAAGCAGCCATTCTTGAGGTTGCTGGGGTCCTGTTATTCTATCCTTCAGACACCCATGGATACTGAGGCAATGAGGAAAACTGGGTCAGAATAACTTGAAAAGTAGAAGAGAGGAGAAATAAAAGAAGCACACACCTTCTTTTCCAGTCTATCGATTAATTTCTGGAGTCTGTTGATCTGGGTCATCCACTGGTTGTCTTCTTCTAGCAAGCCTGGGGAGAAATCACCAGGGCTGTATGTTAAATGTTAGAGTAGAAATGCTTGGTTATCTTGCCTTTTACCCAGAGGGAAGAATGCAATGTCACAGACTTGTAAACACATTTTAGAAAATGTATTCCTGTGAGTATTTTCTTAGATATTGATTCACAGAGATTTGTGCATTTCACTGGGTTCATTTTTACGAGCCTGTTTTGTCTTTACTTTTTTAAAAATATTGTTGTCTGTATTGGCCTTTGATGTTCAACAGAACAAATCCTTCTGAGCCAGTTTTACTACCCTAAAGGTAGTTGTTTCTCTTTTGGGAAAAAAAAAGGAAAGTATCAATCAATAATTGAAAACTTACTTGTAGGGCCCTGTCAGAAACCAGTAAAAATACACCTGTGACCATAGAAGGTATGAATTGCTTCAATCAGAGAAAACACATGAGCAAGACAGCTGGTGTCTCTTTCCTGGGGACTAATTTGAGTATACAAGAACTCTGGTCCCTAGTCACAGCTTGACAGTGCAGTGAGCAGAGGGAGACCATAGCTCTATATTCATTTTTAAAAATTCATATATATTACTCATATATGTATGTGATATATATATATACATATATATATATGCATGTTTGTGTGTATATATTTTCATACAGAATATGTGTGTATCTAGCACCAGGTTCAACATTACAGAAACTCTATGGCTATTATTATTGTCATTACTATGCAAAGGCGTAAAGGGAAGAGGTGTGGTCTGAGACCCTGCACAAATATCCTGGTTCCCTTGTGTATCTTTATTTCAACTTACTTAAAATATTTTCACAAGGGATTGCTGAATTAATATTATTTAATATTTCTTGAAATGAACATGTGATTGAATCCAAGAGTATAGGAAAGTATCCAAGAGCCATGTTTCAACTTGGAATGCAATGATGACAAGACCTTAATTATAAAGGAGTGGAGCTTTACATCAGAATTTACTTCTCTACCTCACTTCTCATGGGAAAACACCCCTCAAAGGCCACTGAATAAATTATAACGCAAGAATAAATATTAGCACTGCCACGAAGGAGTGAGTATTAGAGAGGGGGAAAGAGAGAGGGGGTGGGAGAGGGCCAGTTGAAGAAAATGTTATAAAAGTATAAACAAAATTTAGGTTTATTTTTAATTCACAAATTAGTTCATGTAATTCCAATCTAGGTTCTTCCTAAAAAGAATTTAAGATGGCTGACATATATAATGTCTCCAGGAAAAACATTTTAGTCTAACACCGATTTCCAAATCGTAAAATGTAAAGAATAATCTGTTTCGCCTCAGAAGCCTAGCATCATCATTTTCAACTCAGACATGGCAGACTGTATTATTGTTACAAACTCCTCACTTTTTTTTTTTTTTGGTACTGGAGATTGAACCCAGGGATGCTTAATCATTGAGCCACATCCCCAGTGCCTTTTTATATTTTATTTAGAGACAGGGTCTCACTGAGTTGCTTAAGGTCTTGCTTTTGCTGAGGCTGGCTTTGAGTTGCAATCCTCCTGCCTCAGCCTCCTGAGTTCTTGGGAGTACAGGCATGTGCCACTGTGCCTGTCTCAACTCCTCACTCTTTTCCTACTGTGGAAGTATGTGTGTGATACCCTTCACAGGCAACTTTGTAGTACCTCCCACTACAATGACAGAACACATTTCCCTCCCCATTGTTACTATGACAGGTATACGACTTGTTAGGCCAATGGAAAGTTAGCAGACAAGATGCACTCTGGTTTTAAATGTGCTTGTGTATTTTTGGCCTGGCTTCTTGTGTTTCTGACACCAGTAGGAAGTGAAAGCTCTCCAGTTGTCACTTATCCCAGAAAGAGGCTAAGTGAAGAGCAGAACAGAACTCAACCTATAATCTGGAGCCAAATCCAGCTGACCACAATCCAAATCAGAGTCTACCACAGGACCATGAGAGGCAAAATAAGTATTTTCAGTTGTAACCAATGAGATTTTGAGATTGTTTCACAATAAAAAGGGGACTAATACTCCATATGCTCTCAGACAGTTCATTTAACTTTCTGAGCATTGGTTCAACCAGCTGGGAAATGGAGAACAATGGGTAACATCTATAAGATGTTGGGGTAAAATAAGACTGTATTCAAGAAAGCAACCTGAAATCTTTCAAGTATAGTCAGAATAAATATAGGATATAGTTAGTACTTATTTTCTGAGTTTGCAGTTATTTAAAGATTCATTTGTGTTAAAATGACATGTTCAAGTGAAAAATGTGCATGTATGCTTACCTTATACAAATCACTCCAGTATTTAGCAACATAAGTTTCTTACTTCAGGTTGCTTTAAAACAATTAAAAATTATATGCTTAAAATGTAATAACCTAACAAGTATTAGTATTAGTCAATATTAATTCAATAAATCTTATGTTGCATTATGAACTTCAGAAATATCAGCTATAACTAATCCTAATATGACAGAAGACAAGCATCCTTTCCCTAAAATGAACTTAGGGTATGCTCAGGGAGGCCTGGAGATCTGGAGACTCTCTATGTCAGAGTCTTTGAACTAGAGGACGCATCTTTGGGGTATGAGCCCATGGAGTGATTTTCTCCCTTTTCACCATCTCTATGTGCTTCCCAGGCACAGCTGTGAGGATCTGACAGTATCCCCACCCACTTCTCAAAGCAACCTTCACTGTTTCCGTTTCAAACTTATTTGATAGAATGTGTTCCATTTTTTTTCTACAGTCTGTTTAATGGTACACTAGAAAACGTAAATTATTTAGAATATGATGCAGAAAAACAACAAAAACCACATTACCTGGACCACTGACATTAAACTGAGGGCTGTTGGGGGAGAAGCTGTTGTGTCTCTGAACCCGACGGCTCGATCTCTTGCCAGGCCACTGAATGGACAGGACTTCTGGCTTGGCTGGCCCTTGCCTGGGACAACAGAGAGAATGAATATTCAGCCCCACTGTTAGGCCTTCAGCACTTTTCCTCCAGGAACAGGTTTCCAAGCATCAGTCACAAAGGTTTCCTAGTAGACTGAAAGCTTAGGGGAAGTTCTGTTTGCAGATGTACTCCAGAGACCCAGGGCAATTTGTACAATAGCAAGTGAACCCAAGGAACAGAATTCTAGGTGTTCTTTATTCTTAAAATGAAAAGTCTAAGTAAAAACTATGTCTTCATTTGTAAATTAAGTAAAGCTTTCTTTTCCCCAAGTCATTAATGGGGAAAGTATCTGTGCATATGTTGCTGTGAATTTTGCTTCAATTGAGAACACCTATCATTTTTTTCTTTTCTTAATTTATTTTTTTAATTTAATTTTTGATCCATGTTATGTATCCACATATTTTACTTTATTTTTTGTATATTTAATTAATTTATTTATTTTTATGTGGTACTGAGGATTGAACCCAATTCCTCACGTATGCAAGGCAAGCCCTCTACCACTGAGCTACATACAACCCCAGTCTCTATCCACATATTTTAAAAGTCTTATTTCAACAAACCAAAGTACCTTCCTCCTATACCTAGACTCCACCCCTATCTTCTTTCACAAAGGCAAGAATTTTTAGCAAGTTTATTCTGGCGTTTACCTTTTTGACAGTATCTAACAGCATGCTTAAATTTCCATATTTTTTTTTTAATTTTAGGCTTTATCTATTAGCTTCTCAATACATAAAGCTCAGTCCAATGCTATATACATGGAACTTGGAAAAAGGCTGCTTCAAAGGATGGATTCAGTGGCAGGAAAAGTCTTTTTCTGTTCCTTATTTTTCGCCAGTTTGAATATAGATATGTCGATTGGAATGTCAACAAAATCTTGGACCACAAGGCAAACTTGAGCATGGAAGACATTCATTTAAGATGTGAAAAAGGAAGAAGATCAATGGTAAATCTGTAGAGATGCCATTTTTCTTTTAGTTGACTCCCTTGTTTTGGTGGAAAATATCCTTTAATTGCTTTATAAGGTTACTATGGAAAAGTCTGGTGTTTCCTTGTTAAGTTGTATATGACCTGGTTTTTCTTTCTGGGGATTTTTGCACACTTTATCTCTAGGATTCTAAAACACTAAAGTCCTTATTTTGAGAATTTTCCTTCAATCATTTTATAATTTATTGTTCAGTGGAGAAATATTCAGCCCAGGTCTCATTTTCCATTATTTTATAATTTCTTTCTTTTTCTTTTTTTTTTGGAAAAGCTATTTTGGAAACATTGGACCTCTTGGACTGACCCTCTAGTCTTCTTATTATTTCTTTCCTGTTTTTCATTGCTTTGTGGAGATTTTTTTATACTTTTATACTGAAATCTTCCTCAGAGAATTTCATTTTTGCAATTGTACTGATAATTTCCAAGGGCTCCTTTGTGTGCTCTGAATGTCCTTTTTTAGAAAAGCATCCTGTCCTGAATTCATAAATGTGGTATAGCTAGCTTATTAGCTTTCTGAGGATACTGATGATTTTCTTTTGAAAGTTTTCCTCTGATCTCTGGAAAATATGTTTCCTCTGTTTCTTTCTTATGTTTGATTCGTTTGATTGTGTCCCCACACATTTCAGAGGGAAGACCAGCAAGGCTGACTGGGACCTCTGTGTGCATGGTGGGGATTGCCCACTCACAGCCTCCATCGTGGAGTGGACTGGCTGGGCCCATTTATCAGGGGACCCTGATCCAAGGTACTATAACATCTTTTCTCTTGGATTAATAGATTCTTTGGAATAGCCTCCCAACTGGAGGGCATGAGCCTAACTATCAATAATTTGGAAGCTGAGCATGCAAAAGAAGTATTATAGTATAGGTCTGGAATGTTCTCCTATGATTTATATGTTGAAGGCTTGGCCCCCAGCTGGTTGAATTACGGGGAAGTGGTGGAAAATTTAGGAGATGAGGTCTAGTTTTGGGAGGAAGTAGGTCTCTGAGGAATTGTCTTAAGGTTATATTTTGTTCCCATCCCGTCTCCTCTCATTCTCTTTGCTTCTCAGCTGCCAGGAGGTGAGCAGTTTTGTTCCACCACACTCCCTGCCTTGATGTTCTGCTTCAGCACAGACCCAAAATGACAGCACCAAGTGACCATGAACTGAAACCTCTGAAATGGTGAGCCAAAATAAATCTTTCTTCTTTGAGGTTGATTTTCTCAGGTGTTTTGTCATAGCGATGAAAAGCTAACTAACATAGGAGGTTTCAGGTCTACTGTTCAGTGGAGAACTATTCAGCCCAGGTCTCACTTTTTATTATTGTGCCCTGAGTCTCAATTGTGTCAGGTTTACATCTGCCTACCTCCTTGAGATAGTGCAGTTCCTGGGTTCTTTAGATTGAGGAGGGGGGATGATTATATAACTTCTAACAACATGTCTGTCCTTACTTTCAGTTGCATATGGCATGGCCAATTTTTGAGATTTTCTGTGATACCCACTACATTGCATTGGTTCTTATGACACGTGCTTAAGTTTCAGGTTTCCAAAATTTTATATCAGTTTCCAACAGATTCATCTTTCCAGTTTCAAGTTTCTGCTTCTCTGGCTCTTCTGTCCTTATTTTTGAGGGATAATGCTTTATATCCAAGTGCTTTTTTTAAAAAAATATTTTTTAGTTGTAGATGGACATAATATCTTTATTTTATTTTTATGTGATGCTCAGGATCGAACCCAGTCCCTCACATGTGCTAGACAACTAGCACTCCACCTCTGAGCTACAACCCCAACCCTCCAGGTGCTTTTAATGTCTTTTTTTGAAAGGATTAGGGATGGAGCAAAAGAAATCATATATGTTTGATCTCTAATCTTTAACTAAATCTCTATGGATTTTCATGAAGCATAAGAGAAACCAACTTTCTGACAACTTTGGTGGTCACAGGAATAAGTGATTATTTCTTTATGTTCAAACTACAAGAATAGAACGGTGTGAAGCTTTATGATCACTTTTAAATTAAAGCTTTTCTGTACTTCTATAACAGACAGCTATTGAGAAGAAGAATATAACTTCCAAGCCCAAAAAGAATCATTCATATCCCTGGATGGAGAAGAATTCTGGAAAAAAAAAAAAAAGATCAGACTTGCAGATTCCATTACACAAAGGAAATCCACATGTAATTAAACTGAGTTCCCAGGAATGTAGTTTGTGAGAAAGAGAGGTTTATGTAAGAAGACAGGGGTCCTCCGGAGGGAAACTTCAGTATCACGTAATGATTATTCTTGTCGTTGGCTATTAGGTTCTTCCCAAAGACATGGAATTAAAGTGGCTCCTGCTTAGTCAATTTGCCAGGACAGATACAAAGATTGTTATAGGATGCCATCTGAAAATCTCACCTCTGTGGCATTCCAGCTGTACACATCCCTTCTCTCTGAAATTGCCATTTTTCACATGAATAGACACAGACATTTTGCCCAACACGGCATGTCTAACTCATTACCACAGGATGAATGATACTGGGTGATTCTGCACTGGGGCTGTGAGATAGAATAGATGACTTCTTCAAATTTGCTATATCTCAGTAAGTCTTTGTATCTCTAGGTTTCACAGATATTAAATCTCAAAGTAATGTTGATGCTGAAAGGGAAGCATATTATTATAACCCTAGGGATCTTAATGAAGCCTGCAGGTTACAGCCCTTCTCTATGCAGAACATCATGGAATCTTTCTTTACATCATAGACTGATGAGTTTTGGGGTACACTGGTTTAACCTCTCTTCTCCACACGTGTTCTCTTCTCTTTCTCAAATGTCTCCTACATACATATTATTGTTAGATTAATTTTTCTTAAACCGTGGTTTCATTATATTGCTCTGTTGTTAACAACTATTCATGACAATCTCTGGTAGAATTAAGTCTGAATGCATCTGGCTATTTTTAGATCTTTTCAAATCCCCAAAGCCAGTTAGATTGGTCACTTTGCTGTCTCAGGTCCTTACCTACTGACTGCTCCTCCAAAGGGCTCCCTGTACCTGGAATTCTCTTGCATTCATTCAGTGCCATATATTTAAATGAAGTTGTACCAAGTGGAGGGAGACAATGTAAAATTCCTGCCATCTGGAAACTCAAAGTCTAATGGGGGAGATGAATAAGTAAGGGGATGAATAAATTTGAATAGAGGATACCTTGGGGAGAACTTGCTAGAGAAGTGGGAGTCATGAAATTTTCTTTTTTGAGAGCAATAAAGGCTTCCAGAGAAAGTATTTTCCAGTGACCAAACAAGCTATGAGGAGTCAGCCAGAGGAGAGGTGGGTAAGATGGGATGAGTGAGGCTACTGATGGTTTTGGATCATCATTGTGCCATTCAAATTCATCCTATTGGCTCAGCTCATCTTTTATCCCCATAATGATTTCCACTGGCATCTTGATGGACATCCTTCGAAAAGGACAGCTTTGCTCTCTGTTTCACTGGTGTGGGCCAAGGTGCTCTCCTCACTTTGGTGCTGGGTAGCTAGCCAATAGGAAGTTGTAGCCTTGGGAAAGGAGACACAGCCCCTTTAGGCTGGGGTTAATTCATGTGCTTCTGGTTCATGAAAGATTTCATATTGGATGTTCTGATCACAAACCCAGAGTGGTACCTTTTAAAAAAATTTGCTTGTTTATGCATTTATTTAGAAACCTCCAAGAAGGAATATCACAAGTTTGGGGTGGGATTTGGGCATCTCTGGAAACCTTAGTCAAATAGCAGACAATAGCACTCTCCACACTGACATTAGACCTGCAATAGTTCCCCTTTGTTCAAGTTGGCTTTGAGCAAGAAATCTAGAAAATGAAAGGTTCATTCATCCTCTGGTTTCTTCTACTTTCCTTAAACTTTGTATTATTATCCTCCTCTCCAGTACGCACAGCTGATATGCAGCTGTTGGCAGCAATCACAGGAGTTCAAGGCTAGCCTGTGGCCTAACACAAAGAACAGTTGCTCATTAAACATTCATTGTGTGGTGATAAATGCACAGAACAAGTTTGCAGGAGAAATTAGAGAAGGAAACCAGAAGTGCAGGTGAAGGGGAGGGCGGAGGCTTTTTCAACCTCTTCTCAGGTGGCAAATGATTGATTCTAAAAAAAGGAGAATCCATTTTATTTCCAGAAAATCTAAACAAAAGAAACAACAAAAGAGGCGTCACATTCTCATTAGGAACATGAAATCAATTCCATTGTGCTTCAAGACATTCAGTTATCTTCTGCTCAAAGCTGAGGAGTTGGATTGTTGCTTTTCTAAAACTAATTGTTACATTTTGCCATTTGATATGAACTCACCCAACACAGCAAGAAGAGAGAATTTGTACTGTGAAGAATGGTGCACAGATCCATAGAAGGGTGCATCCCTGTGTTCATCAGCTGCACGAGCTCATTAAATTCAGGAATTATAGGCTTTTTTGTTAGAATTTGGTGGTGCTCACTCATTTTGACATTGTAAACACATGGTTGAAAATTTCACTATTTTTGGAGATGTCCTAATAATTATGTATCCATTAATTTGCTTACAAAAATTGGTCTTACAAAGCAGTCTATGATCAGCCTGTTCAAAAAACTTACTGTGTTGTTCTGCCCAATTTAGGATGCAAAAATGTAGGTAAGGCACATCCATAGGTTTAAAGGGACATAGCAGCTAAAATATGTTGCAAGAGCAAGAGTTTTGCCATGCCCTTCTCTAGCTTGCAAGGTATGAACAATAACTTTAGAAAGCACCAACTGTTGGTTAGAATTATTTTCATGTCTGCTTTACACATTTATTACACAGATTTCTCTTTAGCCTTTATTTTTACAGATATTATATCATTTTTATACTCAGTAAGACCTGTTGGTGGCACTGAATTTTGAAATCTTTCCTATTGTTTATTTTCTCCATATTCTAAAATAATTAGGGTTATTAAATTCTCAAGTCTCTCCAGTGTATCCTGGTTCACTTAATCGGTAATGTCCTTTCTCATGATTTCTATTCATTTTTTTGGAAGACAAGTCTAAATGTTGTAGAGAAACTCTATGAAATGGACTTTTATCCTTTGTCTGTATTTAATCTTTTACTTGTGCAAAACCCACTGGCAATTTCCCTCCCTTTTTCTATGATATTTATCATTTGGTACTATATAGCTTACTTTTGGTGTTGATTTCCTATTGATGTAATATATTTTAGACTCCTTAAGGATTGACATCATATTAAATGTATCTTAACATCATCCACATGTCTTTTAATGTCTTCTCCATCTATGAATTTTTAATGGATAATTTTTGAACAGATGATGGACAGGAAAAGAAAAAGTGAATGATTTTTTTTTAAAAAAAAACAAATAATAAAGCAAGCACCCAGTGGAGGTCCTTGTTATTCCTTTTAAATCTATGAATTCTCAGTTTAGTTTTCACTAGTATGAGTACAATGACCATCAACTGATTTACCATAAACACAGAGTTACTAAAGAGACATCGTATTAAAACATTTAGTTGCCTTTCTTGACGTGTTTGCTCCTCGGTAGTTTCCATGGCACATTCCAGGGAATTCTGGAGAGACTGCAGCTGATTCAATGTCTCCTTCAACAGAAATCGAGTCACAAATTGTTCCAAATTGGAAGCTTCTTGATAGTCCTAGGGCAACAAAACAAAAGCAATCAGAAGTATGGGGGTGGGGCGGGGAATGGCTTTTCCTCTATGTACCCTTCAACCTGGGACTGATCCTGGAAAAGGAGGGGGAGAGAAGGGAAAAACGTGATGGCCTATCCACTTACCAGAAATTGCAAGAAAGAACCGCAGAAAAGGCTGGATTAGATCACTTCTCATTGCACCTGTTCCTAGATTAGGTAAAAGAAACAAACCAAACCAAACCAGAATAATTATGAAATAGACATTGGTAGAAAAGGGAAACAATAATCTATGAGAAGAAAAGATTGGAGCATGGTTGCCAGGGTTCCTTCCATGTTTTAGTTAAATGATGACCATGCCACAGTATTGTTTTTTTCTCTACTACCAACAAAAAAAGGTCACCTTTCAGCAATTGGTTTAATTCCCTCTTGATGTATTTATTATGCTTAATCTGTATTATGATGAATCCAGAGGAAATGATGCTGGTTATTTTAAAATTCAGTATGTTAGTCTTAGAATATTCAAATGGTTTACTAAATCTCCTCATGTCCCTCTCAGTAATTTCACCTGAAGCTCATTTGCAACTGTCTCAGCCAGGAAAGCATCATTCACTCCTGCAGCCCTGGGTCTACATGCAGATCACTGCGGTCTTAGTGGCAGTACTTGCTGAGTGAGCATTAATTCACAGGTAAGTGGGCACTGTGAATTGTATCAACATGTAAGTCTACCACTTTCTCAAGTCTCAGGGAGAACCAAAGAGGAAAACCTGGTTAGCAAGAATGAAATGGCAACATAACTGCTCTTTCAGTTCATGGGACCAGCCAGTGAAATCTGATTTTCTATTCTTCAGTGGGAATGGTATATATTCAAGTTCAGCCAAGGAAAAAGATTTATTTGGTTCTGTCCCTAAACAAAAAAAATTTCTTTCTTTCTTTCTATTTATTGATTTATTATGGCTCAAAGTTCAAAACTGAAAGGACTGACATGACAAGATAATGCTCTGAGTCTTGTTCCACCAGGGAAACACAGGGCATGGTTATAAATC